GAACACAAAGAAAAGCCATTTCGAAATTGGTTTTAGGTAAGTTTCCCCCGTTACAGTGTGTTATCCCCACAGTAAATTCAGATACAATCACTTTTAAATGGTACCATACATCTATTAAATAATTTGAAAAATAGGCAAACACCTTTCCAACCCAATACGCTTTTACGAAGAGCTGCCAAGCCACTAGCAACACTGATCAACAGTGACCTCATTTATGCATCGAAATCTTAAGCCAAGCCATCAGCACGGACAGTGTGACAACAAATTAAAAATGAAAGAATACAGTGTGCACAGTGAAGAATACAGTTCTCTGAAGGAGTTGGAACCCTAATCACAATGGTACAACAAAACCTGCTTTGAGCTCGGTCGAGGGATGAAGAACGCTAGCTTACAGAACTCACGAGGAAGTGCTGAATTAACAGAGGCACATGGACACCACAAAGGAAAATATTTGCAGTGGTCTTTAAGTTGCAGATACCCCTTGGGGTGCCTTTATCACCACCTGAGCAGCACATCTCCATCTGCATTCTCGTGGACAGATAGAAACAGACCCTTCACTTTTCAGTGCATTTCACCAAGAATGAATAAATAGGTCAATTTAGATGTAAAATCTGTCAAATATAATTAAAATATATATTTTAATACAGCAGTGACAAATAGGGAATTCTCCCCATACCAGTTTTCATTCTTGATAAGGTAGCTTCAAGGAGAAGTATTTATCGTGGGCTTAACCTTTATATTTTTTTAAAATAAAATTTCTTAACATATACAGTGCCACAAAAATAAACATTTCTCACAAGGGTTGAAGTTCCTGTGATTGGAAAAATGTAGTCCACACGGCAAAAGGTTTTGTGTATCTAAGAGCGTTTCCCTTACTATTCGATGTTACCACACTACGCTTGTAACAGAGAGACGGGAGAAAAGAGAATTGATGGGGAGAATTTAGGGTTTGTCCAAAAGTTGTATATACATTGAAACCTTCAAAAACACAGACACATCTTCCCGAGTGGCCCACCGTGACAGCGGCATCTTCCTTCCATGGGCAAGGTCCAGAAAAGCAGTAAAGGCATCAGAAACACCCATTCATTGTTACATTATACAACACACAATAACCGGAATACACTACAGTGTGAGAGCAGGGACAACAGCTACGGTGGTGCACATTCCCGACGGCCACGTCCACGGCTGTGCCACACCTTTCAGAAGAGAAGTTATGAGGAAGCATTGGGTTTGGAACTGGTGGCTCACTTGGAACTCTGAGCATCAGTCTCATTTGAAGTCTCCAAACTCATGGTTT